CTTCTACCGTAGCGGATGGCAGATTACCGCGAAGGCCTCCCGCCCCTGCCGCCTCGCTTCCTGCAGGGCTCCGATCATCGCTTGCTGAGCATTGTGGCCACGGCATTGTGGCGGGCGAGTGCCGCAGTTGTGTGATCGGTGGTGGCATCCATCACCGCCCCACAAAAGTGCAATCAGCGCCATTCACGCTCATTGTGCGTGTTTTTGTCGGGTGATCGTGTGACCCTTGGAGCAAGAACGGGAGCAGGCGGATGCTGGAAGGCTTTACACGATTGCATTGTGCAACGTACAGATACATTATAGCGTTAGTTAGATATGCAAGCGTTGGTGCATTTAAATCCGACTGGGCGAGGGATATACCCATGGCGGAGATACGCCACCCAGTTGTCTGGCGCCGTTGAAAAGGATAGACGACAGCACCGTATAATTTGGTATGATTAATCACGCATTCATGACTCATGTTTATGAAAATGTCCTCATTCACATAGCTTTTCTCAGCCCTTCGGCCGTCAAGCTGCCAATTATTTGCGGCAATACATAACGCCCACCAATTTTTCCGCTATTTATTGTTAACCTACATTTGTAGAACGTTGTGGCAACTCCAGATTCTCATGTATCCTGTTCATCTACCTATCACTCTTTCCGTTGTTGTTCTTGAGTCAAGTGCAGGCTGTGATGTGGGTGAATGGGGGAAGGCTCTAACAGAGCGTCCCAATCTCACCGTTGTCCGATTTGTTCTACCGGCAGCACTCAAAATACCAGCCCGCTGTATTTCACCCTGCGTGAAACCATACTTTGAGGACGTGTTATAAAGAAAATAGCGCGCAGCCGGAAGAAAATAAGGGCGGCATAAAAATAAAGAGGGGATGCTGATTGTTATGCATAAAGTGGTTACACATTCCGCAAATAATGTTGCGACATGCGCAATGTTTATCTTCTGAATGGCGTGCAACATACAGGTAGCGCAATATGAAATATTAGGCGATTTTTTGACCCATTAGATAGCGTATGATGTCATTTATTGGTGCATTAGCGAACTTGGATACATGAATGTTTCACGTGCCCACCACGCGACTGTTTGGCGTCACAATGTGGTGGCAATCAGCCAGGTGGTGAGCATGTGAACCATTCATGTATGTGAGTTCGTGAGGTCGTCGTTCTCGTGAAAACAATTACGCTGTGCACATGCATCTTCCAAAGCGAGGGGCTTTCGGATCGGACCAAAAAGTATACCCTCTAAAAATTGAAATGGCCACGCAGGTGACCTACGCACACTCAAGAAACCTTGCGATGCCTATATGTAAGGGGATTACGCACCCAAAGGTCCTGGAAGATAGCGAGTGCATGCCGTGCAAAAAACAAACAGCAAACAACAAAAATAATTTCCGTGCAAAAGCTCTGCTTAAACCAGTGTCAATGTTGGCGATAGTCAGCTTGAGGTTTAAGTTGAAGCTCATCAGTGCAGCAAAGATTGTCGACTGCCGCGCGTTGATCGATTGCCTATCTATCTGTTGCGAAGGGATTGATTGTTCAAACCCAAATATAGGGGCCATTGGAACCCACAAACACAAATTCGGTGATGATTTTAAAGAGAGGGTCTCCTGTGCGCCTGTTCGCCCTTGACGTAATATTAACTACAGCGTGACGGGTGGTAAGTGACGAGCAGAGAAAACGGCGACAAAGTAGCAAGACAGCTCGCAGACCAAAACCTACAAGTCAGTGACGGCCAGATTCAGAGCGGACGGCCAAGTCAAGCTTCCCATCGGCGAAAATATAGAATTTGTCGACGGCCTCTTCGCCAAGGTCTTCCTGATCTGGGAGGCCGGTGCCAAAGCCCAACTTGGCTCAACGAGGAGTCATCCTGGCGCCGGAAACATAGCCGCTGAAAATATCATTTGAAGCCTTCGGAGAAGCAGCGTGGAGGGACATGAACCTGCAGGTCTGTGGACACTGTCCAAGACCTAGAGGAGGCTGTGAACGAGGCATTTGAGCTTTTAAACAGCCAGGAGTCATCAGGATTGCCATGGCAACATGGTGCTGAAACAAGGTGCGCCGTCATGTCTCTGCACCTGGCTTCCCAGAACTCTGCAGTGATGACCATCACGACAGGCAAGGCCAAGCTAGGGGATGTTTTCATTCCAGGAATAAAGCACACTCCAATTGACATGCTCTTCAAGTTCAAGCCCATTCAGTTCCCCGCCAAGCAGAGCCATGCAGTGACGATGAACAAAGGCCAAGGCCAGTCTCTTGATGTGAGCGGTCTCGACTCGACTGAGCGCGGTCTCGACTCGACTGAGCGAGGTCTCGACTCGACTGAGCGCGGTCTCGACTCGACTGAGCGCGGTCTCGACTCGACTGAGCGAGGTCTCGACTCGACCGAGCGAGGTCTCGACTCGACTGAGCGAGGTCTCGACTCGACTGAGCGAGGTCTCGACTCGACTGAGCGAGGTCTCGACTCGACTGAGCGCGGTCTCGACTCGACTGAGCGAGGTCTCGACTCGACTGAGCGAGTGGTCTCCCGGGGTCAGCTTTACGGTGGCAGCTCCAGAGTCACAAATTGGCCTCTTCATCATACTGCGAGAAGACAAGACCAAGAATGCGGTGTGCAACAAAGCACTGCAACTGTAAGATTCACTGGACTGGAAATCAGCTGCAGCAGGATCGCAGAGCACCCCGGCAAAGCACAATCGCCATATCGTGTTGTATCGTATCGTGGTTACTCAGCGCTGGATGTGTTCCCTTCCAGGAGTGCCTGAGCCGGGTGGCCGGCCGTGATGCCGTTCCTCGAAGCGACACGTGACCTCACTGAATGACCCGCTGGTGAAGAAACGTTGCGGTAGGCGTTTAGGGCCGGCAGCGCTCTAGTTTTTAGTGCTGTTTAGTGCCTAAGACCATTAGTGGGCAATTTGAGCTTGATTTGCAACTACTGCACAATTTATGTTCCCCTAACACCGTCTGCCCCCGGTTTCCTTAAAGCTGAACGTCTGGTGGTGTGGTATTTTCATACTGCTTTAGATGTGTAGTCCCAACAAACGATTGGCTGCTGGCGGTCGCGTTGTAGCGTATCCGATTATAAAAAACAATCATGAGATCCACGACGAAAGGACAAATGAATGAATACATGAAAATTAATCAAGATAGAAATGAACGAATGTAATGAATAACCACGACACAAATCCAATCAATGCTCCATCGCCTATCTCAAGTCATTTCTTTGCAGCACATCTTTTCTACTATCCAGTCATCTCTGGACATTCCAGCTAGTTAACAATGCGTGAAGTCCGCGCCAATGACATAGCGGCCGGCAACGACAGACTGCTCGATGTAAATCCCCGTCCGCACGAAGTATTGGGGTTCATCGTGCGGCACTGGTATGATATACGTGTAAGAACGCAATGGTGACAATGGGCTACGGGCTCCGGAGTTTCAGCCAGCCGGTGTGGTCACAGTTTACCTCACACGAAGAATGGCTTTACCAGATCACATTTGGCAGAAAAGGAAACTCAAATGTTCGTGTAGCATATTTGTATATTTCTCTCTTGTCCTCCCTGAATGTAATGAGGTGATAGAATCACGACAATGGCACGCTGACCGCTGTCGGCAAGCATACTTTGACCAATGACATTAGGTCTTGGAGTCTTAAGACCATCGACACTTATCGCCACGGAACCTGAATCCCCACGGTCGGAGGTAGGGTGCTCCTCGTGGTATCCCAAGCCCTATGCTTACCAGCCCTGTTTAATGAATGGGGCACTTCTTATGACGCCCTGTCCACGTCAGAGGCCCGGTCGAGCCGCCCGGCCAGCCACATTCCTCCTCTGTCCTTCGCGCCCCGGCGGCGTCCTTGGAAAGCGCCAGAGTCGTGACCTAGTGGCGCGCTGGTGCCTCTATCCGAAGAGATGACGGTTGTCCAAGGCTGCTGGTCACTGTTGGCAACACTTCTACCGCCTACCGGCCCAGGCTGCCTAACGTCGCCCCCCCCCCCCTCCCCCCCCCCCGCCCCGCATGGCCGGCGCTGTCCACGCTGCTGACCGCTGACTAACCTCTGATAATTGGCCACTGACTGGAACTGCTGAGTTCGACCGCTCATCAAAGCTGATCGTCGGTTGGGCCGGGACACTGTGCTTTTTTGCTTCACTGCAGCCACCAGGGGGAAGTTCGCCACGAAAGTAACCGCATCAGTTGTGTGCTGTGATATCATGCGCGGACCGCCACCGGCCAGCCCCATTGGCTGCTCTGCCAACTTACCAACCGACTTTGCCGGCTATCCGGCAATCGGCGCTTGGCTCCGTAGTCGCAGGTCGCTACGATTGTTGACAAGGATGACTGGGGACGACGAAGTTCTTCGGATCTTGTCATTTCCATTCAGCTCACGGATTTTCAGCGCGGGACAAAAGTTGGAGCCGGTCTGTAACCGTAAGGTATACGAGACGATAAATTTCAGCGATTTGTTCAGAACAACCATCCATTCACGCCCGCCTGTCCTTACACACCATTACCTTGTGCTCCGCCGAGTTCCCTGTGTGTCGGCGCCTCGGCGTCGGCGGGGCAGGCCGGAGTGCCGAGCACGTGACCCGCCACGTCCGCGGCCAACACTTGACAGGCCTCTCGGCTCGCTCTGTTGACAGGCGCACCGGAGGCGGCCGCCAGCTCGCTCTTCACCCTCGACGGCCGATTACTCGAGATTGGCGAGTCTATTGAGGACATTAGATCGCCGCGGCGGGCGATGGCGGCACGCACAGGACGCCGGCGCGGAGGCGAACCGGGACGGCCGGCGGCGTCCTGACCGCCTGAGGCGAACACCTGCGCCCTGCCCCCGTCGGAGCCCGGCCCATTGACCTCGGCTGGCGCGCGTGCCCGGTGGGGTGGTCGGCCGGGCCGCCTGTCATGGACGCTGGTCGGCAGTGCCCGGCCGCCGCTGCGCCAGCGGGACCCCTGCGCCGCGGCCGCCGGCCGTGAGCGCCGGGCCGGCTTGTGCGCGAGGCAGGCCCGCCACTGTCCGGTCAGCTGGGGCGGCACGAGCACGGCCGTCGCGGGGTCGCCGCTCGCCTGGAGTGGGGTCGTCGGTGTCCTGGTGGCCGGCGCTCGAGCGGCATCCGGGCTGAAGCCAGGGGCGCTGCAGCCTCGCGCGCGCGAGTGTGTGCCGAGGGTGGACCGCGACAGCACAAAACTGCCAGCCGAGTGAGCTGTGACGGTGCTCAAACATTCGGCGTGTCATTCGGGACAGTGTGTTATCCAGTGGCGGTTGACGGCGTGCTGCGTCTCTGGAGGAGTCGGCGTGGCGGTACAGCCATGCGCTTCAAGTGATCTGATCGCGCCGAGGCCACCTGGTGTGCGAACTGCGGTCGTGGCTGCGTACGCAAAGTGCTGCTGTTCTGGAGAAACCGCTGGTGTGCGACGGAATACGTTTAACGGTATATAACAGCATACAAGGCGGGACCACTGTGAAAACTCGAGGAATCGAGGCTACAGCGAGAGGCTGCCAGGGCGACATTGGTAGGATGTGAATGTGGGACAGTCCTGTTGCGCTACACTCGTGTGCGTGATTGCGGGGTGAGATCCCGGTGAGAAGCGGTGAGCAGCGGTGCCTGTGGTGAGCAGCTGCCGAAGCATCACAGAGCTGTCGCTGCGGGCAGCGGCCGCAACCTACCGCCCACCATGATTGACTTTGACAACGTGCTGCTGGAGATCGGCGAACGTGGCCGATACCAGCAGATCATGTACCTCTTGCTCTGCATCCCGGCCACCATACCGGCCGCCTTCGTCGCCTTCAACCAGGTCTTCATCAGCGGCACCCCCGACCACTGGTGCCGAGTGCCCCAGCTGGCCAACCTTTCGCTGCCGTGAGTGTGGAGAGCGGGCCGGTCGGCCGGCAGTCCGCGCCTCGCGGCCTGGGAGGGTAGGGTGCCACAGGACGGTGCGCGTTAGACCGTGGCTCATCGCGGCGCATGCTGCCGAAGTTAGTCGTGCGTGCTTTTCAGTTGGGTCGTGTGGCCGGGTTGACGTCTAGTGCCAGCGGTGGCAGCTGACAGCAGTGGGGCCCTGGGAAGCCTTACTGAGATGAATGATTTGTATGCATTCATCTATGGCTCAGGAAGGCGCAAATAGCCAATGCAGTTGACACGTTCTTAAAACTCAATAACTGACTATGGCTCGGGAATCGCACGCTGCAGATTGCCTCGGTTTTTTCTGGCGGAATGTTACATTGACAGTGAATGACCACAATTGACTAATGATCAGCATTCATATGTCTGTTATTTGGACGTATTTTGGAGCATCTTGCTGGGGGCTGATTTTTTGGATATTACATCATCCGATTTTGTAAGTTAGTGAGTGGTGGTGGTGCATTAGTGAGAAACATTATTCACATAGGTAAGACAGTACTAATAACTTTATTCCTTGGAGAAAAACCAGGAGAATGTAGATATAGTTGGGCTGATATTTCGGCAACATGCGTTTATCGAAACAATATCAGAAGTGAAATCGAATGCACTTCAGCTATTGTTTCGATAAGCAGATAAGCAGGAGTGAATTCGAGTTCACTTCTGCTATTGTTTCGATAAAGGCGTGTCATTGAAATATCAACCCAACTATATCTCCATTCTCCTCGTTTTTCTCCGATGAATAAGGCTATTACTACTGTCTTCATTTGATTTCACCCAAAAGCCGCTGCGGCGATGCGTTTGACCTTTTTGGCTTGTCGGACCTACTTATTCTGGAAATTTACATCAACAAACTGAAAGCTGCTCCATCTCTGATCAGAGTCAACCTACTTTGTGTAAAAATGTGGACCAGATGACCCTAAGTTGTATTAAATTGATGTCATATCGGCTATCATAGGCACAAATATCAAGACTGTTTGCCTTCCTTCTATTGCTTGATAGATGACGAAACTTTCGTAGCCGTTAGTTTCAACCAGGCTGCCTTGCATCAAACGCAAGCGACGTCACCCTGACCTCGTGGGGTCCCTCGGATGTCAGAGCCGCCATTTCTCCTTATAGAGCAGTGGCCTCCATGGCCTTCGTTGCGGTCAAAAATGTTTGGCTTACGCTATAAGCTCAGACAGAAGCCATTTTGTTCAGGTAATTGGCCGGATCACCCCGTCTCCATCACATCCGGCCCTGTCAAAGTTAAAGGCTTCTTCGGCATCATTTTAACATAATATTGCAATGAGATACAATCCGTTGAATCCTAACGTATCGTACGGGGTGGGATTAGCAAGACATAACAAGATACATTACAAGCTACTAGAGGCCATGTTTGAGTGATACGCAGCGCGGTTCGAGAAATTAATTACTTTTAAATTTCGTTGTACTGAATTCCTGATTTAATTCTGTAAGGAAAGCTCAAAGATAGTGTTTGAATCCCTGCTCGAGTCAGTCTTTATGCAGAGTAGGTACTTAGTGTTATCAAGTGCCCATTTGTGCGGCTGCATTTTTTGCAGGAAAAAAAGAAAGACAGGGGAGCTCTTAGGCACATTAATCAATACATCCGCATTCACTGCAAAAATTCACTCAACACTCGGCCTTTGTCGTTGAAATGTCATTTCAAAAGCACTGCTGAGGGAGAGGCTAGGGGGGGAGGGCGACAGCACTGTATCTGTGCAATGTTATGTGCCTTGTGCTTGCTTTGGCCTTCGAAAATCCTTACGCATAAATTAGTTAATGGGTAGATGTCAACTTTACGTTCATTACTGATAGTAATCGCGACTTTCCATGGCGCTACGATTTATCCGAGGCAGAAACACTTTATAACACAGAAACACTTAAACACATGTTAGGCCTATAAGGGAACCGCGTGCTTGACTACCTCAGGATCACTGAGCCTGCTTCAATTTTATGCATTTTGACGCTTTACTTTGCTTAATTTTCGTCTTTCACTTATATCGTCTGTTTTTGTGTTGCCCCGGTTTCTTCTTTTCATTTTTGACTGTTGTGTTGTATTTGCTTGATCTTTATCCCTTTTGACTTTTTGTTAACTGGAATGGTTTTATTACATCTGCATTGTTTTAACTTGCACCCATTAATCTCTGTTTTTTTTTATTTGTCGATGCTTTGCTTCTCCGTATTTGATTTCTCACTTTGATATTTCTACACGATACTATGAGATAATATTTCGTCACGTGCCAGCTCGTTGCCCATTAAAAACATTATTAATATTTTTTCAAAGAAATTGAGAGGTAACGCAAGTCACCGTCAGTCACTGACCTGACCTTAAGAAGGGCTCATATGTGGGGCTTTGTAGCTGGTTGATATTGGTGTCATTTTAAAGACCTTTTTGAAAAGAAAATGATAAGTGCATGGTCAGATAGGCTAAAAGAAATGAGAGAAGATACAACAGCAGCTTTTGGTGTGCCGGTACTTGGGTCAGGAATAGTTTTGGTGCCGTAAATGGCTAGAACTGGTGGCACACTTGCATGTGATTAAAGAAGAGATGCACAGAGACTGAACAGAGAAATTGCTTGTTCTGCAACTGGCTGGGCCGGGATATATAGACGTGTGCGTGTGTGTGTGTGTCTGGAAACGTTCGCATCTTTGCTATGGAAGGTGGAAAAGTGCGTCCGTAATTGGATCCATGCAGAAAGTGGCGGATCAAACCATACTGGGGACGGCAGTGGTGCTGACGGGTACTGGTACTTGCTTGTTTGCATCACCACTACCCAAAGCCCTAGTCCACAGCTCTTGCCATTAGTAAGTGCCTGTGTGTACCATTTGATGACGAAAAGCGTCCGCGGTGTAAAAAGACCGAACTGCATGATGTATGTGTGCGGGAGCATACGAGAGAGAAAAGAGTCGGCGGGTAGTCGCATGGCCGAAACGTAAGAGATTATGCATGCATGAGATGTTTTCTATTTAGGAAGTGCATGACGTTTGATTGGGGCTCCTGATTTGATTTTGTTATCCATGTGCACGAATTTATGTCCTCGCTCACTGGGATGATAAGACTGCTGACACAACAGCCCTTTGGGACCAAATCACACGCCCAGTTACGCACGTAGCTGTGCGACCCTGTTCCCGACCTTGAAGCAGTCCTGATCGCTGTTTTTTAACATTTTTCATTTGTTGTACTTGACGCTATCCAATGGTTTCCCTGATCCAACGCTTTGCTTTCTACGAAGAGTCGTGACAAGCAGGTTTGGTTATGTATCCAACTTCCTGGTACGCGGTAGTAGAGACATAATTCTTATCTTCTTCGATACGGTGCGTACAAAACGCGCATCCAGGTCGACAGAACTGCATTACCTTTTGGACAGATTATCAAGCCAAGATGGAGACAAATTTAACGTTGTAAATATCTGTCATAATGATATAATTTTGGGCTTCAATATGAGTGCCATTTCTGTGGCAACTCCCATGGAATAATGTATGGGGCGGCAGCTGTGAGTGTATCACGAAAGCAAGATAGCGTGCCTGCTTTCAGCGGTCAATGGAAACCCTAGCTATGCCTAAGCATCGTCTCTTAGTTCCGTTGCCAAGACCTTAGTGCGAAGATTACTTTGTTCTGTCTGCCTGAAAACACCATTTGAGATTGCAGCGGAATTCGACACACGTCTGTGCAATGTACGGCTCGTGTACGAAATTCCGACATTCTGCCGCGTAGAAACTGTGAAGGAATATAACGTAGTAGCATAGCTGTCAGCATTTGGACGGTTCATTATGTGCTTGGAGTGTGCAACTACCGCCAGTGACTCCGTGTGTCGAACATACATGCACTTGCCAAGCTTCCACGGGAAATTTGATGCCGATATATCAGGAGGTTTCCTGCGTTCGTGTGTTATGTGTAATGCATCGCATTATACGCACCAAGGTATCATCAACAAATTGATTAGACAACAGCATTTACAATGATATTATGTGGCGTATGTTGCACGCCACACCCACCAACGATGTTTGCAGACCACGACATGATCTCACTATTCATCCTGTTGACACATCACAGGGCCGGAGTTGCAAAGAGAATTTTGTACCATCTCTCAACGTACCAGACATCTTGCAGGAGAAAAAAGCTTTCCATAGTTGGTTTTTTGGGAGGGTCATGGATGTCACAAGTGGTTATGAGATCACGGTGTCAAGAAAGGGTCCAAAGCGATCGTAAGTATCGGTAATTAATGTAACTGATGTATCGGTATTGATGATGTAGATCATATGCTTTTAAATGATTTGCGGTTTTTCATCAGATACAACTCCTTAGGCCGCATTTCCAGATGCTCCCATCCCTCAAAAATGGTTGGCTTATTCTTCGGAACCTATGCAACGTAGTGCACAGAAAATACACTGGTGTAATATGTATGAGATTTAGACCAACATATGTACCAAATTTGATCGAAATCGGCGAGGTCATGGTGAACATGCCATGGTGATTTGACGTGAAACTGCCCTATGAACCGAACAATGGACGATGCTCATGGCTTGATTATGCGGTGATGCTTTTAGAAGCGGTACGGCAAGGGAGTGTGCTATGGAAGCACCGCTGGTTTGTATTGTCCAAATTGATATCATGAAAATGTATGGGTAATAGTTGATCTACATATCGTATAATTTACCTTTGTCCAGCAGTATGCCAGTTACACTTGCTGCCCAACCCCTCTGTAATCCACTCCCGGCCGACAAGGCCGTTTTTACACCCTCGCCCGATGAGAGGGGCTGACATTCCCCTCAATAACCTCTGATCTAAGACGTATGGAGTATCTGGACCAAATCAGCGCCTTAACTTGTTTCGTAAGCTATCCAGACCTATCCATGTTTTGGTTTCAGGCCAATAGATGGCATGCTGGGTGGTCACGGTGACAAGCTAATTGGGCCAGTTGGTAGTGAGATGAAATGTTCTCGCCGGTATGATATTCAAGCATGAAAAACACGGAACGTATTTCCGCACGCTCTTGCCCTGTCTTCCGGTCCCGGAAATGTCCAGGTATTTGGGTTTGGGTCAACTGAGTAAACCCTCAGGTCGTGAAAATCGCAACACAGCTGAAATGTCCATTAGATGACTACTACTGGTAGATGGCTTACGGGACCAACTGCGGTGATGGGGAAACCACCGATTCAGTGCTCATCTTCTAAGGTCAACTATCCTTGTTCTGTTTTGGGGCCGTTTATAGCCTCTGTGCTCAAGCTAGGTAGCTGTGGTCACACATGCTTCGTATTGCTATACAATGCAGGCTACGCGATGCAGCTCGTTCTACGGTCGTGGGATGGACGTGACTTGAATTTTTCTGTCACTATTTCAACTTGGAATAATATAAGCTATTGACACTGAAAATTTCAGGATAGGGATAAAGGTTAAGGCTGGTCATCATAGGTCAAGGTCAAACTTGCTTTCAGCATTTAATTCCCCTACATTTGATGGCTAACAACGTCGCGACGATGGGATCCGCGAAATTCGACCCAAGGTAACGACATTTTTCATATCAGTGATATATGGAACCATAAGAAAGGCCTGTGTCAGGTAAATCGAACTCACATAGTCTGAAAATGTATTACAATAATGATAATGCAGATGTTACGCAAATTCAGGCAAGGTCGAGCACGCCTACACGAGCGCCACTTGACGCATACAACGCCAGGCAGGCTGTATAATGCAGGCTGCACACAGATACTGATAACTGAAGATCATGTCATCGGCCGGCCTTTGAAATTTCAGTGTCGTTTGCGTGTAACTACACACAAGCAAGGCTAGTTGAAAAAATGAAGTATCAGAAATAATCTCTTCCGCGCCAACCACAGCGCCTACTACGCCTGTGGTGCCTACCTGTTAAACATTTCTCTGATCCAGCGCCATCTCGACCCCAGAAATCCGCTCTTATCGGTCGCACGATGTTTTCCAAAATCAGGTGGATGTGGCTGATCGTAACGAACATTCTTGTGAGAGCAGTTTCCATAAATCTTCCACATAAAGGCCCTCGAACGTGCTTGACCGCTGACGACTTTATCGCACTAAGACACAGTCTGGCTGCACATCACTGACGTTTAAATGCCTTGTTTTGTTTTAAGGAGCAGGTGGTACACCTCAGTTGCCAAGAAGCACACCGTCATGCCGATTTACGAGACATGCGACTGTGTTCAAATTAAACCCCGCCAGTTCTCCTTTGGAGGATCTCGCGTCATATCTTTTCAGATTGTCGTATGCATTCATTTTTGGAAAGTGTATGGCCTTCAGTGTACCAGGTGCATGCCCATACATGGGGGCGACACACCTCCCGATGCAAATGCTGACGGGGTGTCCGAGTCCGCAAATCACACGCAAACTATTTCCGTCAACGGTCGGCGTGTAGCCATTCAATTATGGCTCGACGCTTTATTTGACCAAGTCTTTCCAGTACCGGCACCTTCGGGGGACTTAGCCGTTTATTTATCTTTTTCAGCTAACCAGTGCAGTTTTCACACGAATATTCTTCTTTTTTGTGCGGTCCTTGGCATGAGAGCTACGACAGCTTAAAGTTTGCCGGATGATGCAATTAATTACCTTTGGCACTCGTCGGATGAATTATGCGCGGCGGTGTGTCATGCAATCTCCAACTGTCATTAGGTAAGGCCAGGGAGGGTCATAACAGTCATGTGTATAATGTAAGGACTGAACTCATATTATGCATACTATGTGTAACAAGACTAAAGCACTGCGAGTAAATGGCTGTGCTGGATCTCAAGCGCGTGGTCAGTTTTCTGTATAATGCTTGGTCGGGTACACGCCAGAGTTCGTGTAATTGTTTTGCTATGTTCGGGGATTATCCAGAAACTATTGCTGCCGCGTGTCAGAAGCTCAGCCAATCCATGCAGCCAGGTGCAGCATGTGTGTGCCCGGGCGCGGCCTGGGCAGATGCGTTCGAGGTCTGCCAATCCGCCGCCCGCCCACAGCACCAGGCTGACTGTGCATGTGTGCCTGTCACCCTCCCGCGCAGCAGCCGGCCCGAGCCGGGCTGTGGCGGCGTTCGGAGCCACAGTCAGCACCGCCGCCTGTCCGCAGACAGCGCCGAGCCCTGTCCCTGCCGCCGGGCCCGGAGGGCGGCTACCACCAGTGCCGGATGTACGACGTCAACTACACGGCCGTCTGGGTCGACGGCGGCCACCTCTGGCCGGACGCGGCCAACGCCTCCTGGCCCACGGCCCCCTGCCGCCACGGCTGGGAGTACGACATGACCGACTACGACGAGACGCTCACCACCAAGGTGGGTGCAGCACGCCGGCTGCTGCGACGAGACGCTCACCACCAAGGTGGGTGCAGCACGCCGGCTGCTGCGACGAGACGCTCACCACCAAGGTGGGTGCAGCACGCCGGCTGCTGCGACGAGACGCTCACCACCAAGGTGGGTGCAGCACGCCGGCTGCTGCGACGGGACGCTCACCTCCAAGGTGGGTGCGACACAGCCTACGCCTACACAGACATATTACCTTGCATTCTTCGAAATGTTCGTTTCCCATCATCGTAAGTAACCCTGAGAGGTGTGCTTTTATTGCTTTACAATGTTCCATTGATCCTGTCAACGTCTTCAGACAACATACACGTACTGGTACATTGGAACAATATGGGAACCGTTCGTGAGCACGTCAGATCAAAAGCATACTTTCTTTATGTAAGCTCCTGAAAATCGGCCTTTTATTTTGATAACTATTTGTCATCATTCACGGGGCTGGTGTGCATTCATTAATTCTTCCATTTAATGAATACCCACTAGCACTATTCATTAATTCTTGGAATTAATGAATAGTTGAATTTCGCGATAAATCGGATACACAAGACAACTCGCTGTCCTGCGTGCCTGGTTTCTACGTATCTGGTAAACACATAGCAGAGGCTAATCACTCGAAGCTGCCCTGTCACTACGAGACCGTGCAATGACATCAAAGAACTGAGGGACATCCCAAGCTTCATAGTTCGTGTGGCTGACAAGCCATCAGTTTTTGTATTCCTGGATATAGTGGACTACATATGTGTGTCAGCAAAGTGAATGCCATACTACAAGACGTTTTCAAAGGTACTGGTGAATACGACCTAGTTTTTTAAAATCCCAAAACGCACAAAGAGGGCTCACTTTTCACTAGCGTATTATTCGATGAAATTAATGAGATCATCTTTGAATATGTTTATACGCACGCGTCTTTTCCACCGCTGCGGTTTCCCGCATTCTCGCTTTAGAAATACTCCGCCGCAGTTGCATTAGAAACACACCTTCCCGGTGCCTAGAGGGTAAGCTTCATCGCCAAGCCGATGTGGTCGCCATGTGGTCACCGCTCCGTGTGCCTCTTGCGGAAGACTGTTGAGTACACGTCGAGCCGCGTCCTGTGGACAGTATGGAAACGAGCCGTCCACATACTGTCGACGTCGACGACACGTTCGTCGATATGCCAAGCGAGCAGCAGCTTCATTGTGTAAAGTCAAAGCTTGAAGCACACTCGTTTCAAAAATTTACAGTATAGCTTTGTATCGACCACATACATGTGTTTCTAGACATAGCTCTTTATACCTGTAACGGCAGTTATGTCCTTAAGCATTCAGAAAACCCACCGTTCCTGCCAAATGGCTGAACAATCTTAGGAATACCCAGATACATGCAGTGCAAGTGCGATCCGATCGCGCACACGGTACTCAGACGTGGTACTCAAACTTAACGGTACTCAAACTTGGCGCGGTATAACCGATCTTGCATTGGAGTTCAATAGAATCGGACACAACCCTGTCAACAACAGCTAGTCTGACTGGGATAGACAAGCAGATCCGTCTGCATTTCCACAAATCCTTCAATCAGAAGACCAAGGAGATGAAGAGATGGTGAGCACTGACATAAATAATTGTATTACCAGAGACGGACGCCAAGTGCGAGGATGATAATGACGAAGTTATTTCGATTTTTCGGACACGTCGCCTACAATGGTAATGTTAAGGACGCCAGGTGCGTACAAGGGTCAAGAGAAGGCTTTCACGATATCATCTATCAACGAACTGTTTCACAGAGAACCACGCCAACCTTCAGCTCACAACTTGCTGTTATCTCTTGGTTTGATTCGCCGTTTTCCTTGTAACAACGCGGACTGATATGGATAGGGATCGATGTTCAACCCTACAGTTTTCAAAGAGGAAAAGATCGACCTTAGTAGTAGCATCACTGGCTTGGTCTCAACGAGACCTCGTGGTTGGTCATGCGCCTTATGTTGCAACCACATTATTAATCATACCACATATTAATCAACCATATTATGTCAGGTCAGAGGTCATATTTTCCCGACAATCAAACCTTTTCAGCTTTACATGTTCACATGTACGTGGCCATTCCTTGATCAAAGCAACTCGAAATCTAAACAGAAGTGTTATACGTTAAATTCCGAGTACAGCGGTGTATAGTTGTGTTTTTACGATATATTCATTATGTATGGCTCAGTTAAAGGGAATGCTTCACAGTCGAAAATATTGAAGCAAGCATCAGATATGATGTAATAAGCTTACTTATTATCATTGTTGTGCTTTAAGTGGAAAAGACTGCTCTAGACAACATAATTCTCTAGTAAATATGCATCTCACTATGCCATTTAGATTACGAAATTGTGTCAGTCTTGTTTCACGTACAACAACCAGGAGAGAGGAGATACCGATGCACTTCTATTTCGGCAATATATTATCGAAACGAATATCAGTACTGTGATACTTGCGATGTCAGAAGTGTGATACTGCTAAACTTTTTGTAATGCTACATGCATCAGTAGTGTGATACTACTCCACTACTGCGACTATTTCTGATATCAGTAGTATGATCCCACTTCTAACATTACGGATGCACGATACTGCTATTCGTTTCGACAAAGCTATGTAGCCGAAATTTAAAAGCATCTATGTCTTCTGTCTTCTGTTTTTTTTCTGTAGTGAAATATGGTTAACAGTGCTGTCTTATCTGTGTGTATGGTGTTCCTCACAACTGCACTTAACTTACCCAATTGCGAGTCTTATTTCCGTCATAACAGGCAGTTGTATTCAACACCATATAATATAAAGCACAAAACATGATTCGTGATTGAAGCTTGAACAGCTTGCTCAACGTCGATTGGGAGCCAACTGACGTGCACCATATTTGGGAATCGTGCTTATAGGACGCCAGATCTGAACGGCTCCTCGATAATATCCTGCCTGGCTTTGAACCCCGCATGGCCTATAAGGTGCAAAATTTGAATGACGTTGTTATGGCGTCATGCACGCCTAAATGGCCTTGAATAATCTGGATAAAATAATCAGCACATCTCTGCGAGCATGTAGCTAAGAAACTAGAGGGTTTGAGGAATGCAGGGCTGTCACCTGCACAAAGGGATGTTTAAAATGACTGTTTCAGTTAAAACCGTCCATACAAATGTGCACGCTCTCTCTAATGTAACGACATCGTCACAGCCGCTCGTGTTCCGCGACATCACCGGTTGCCGCTCGCCACCCGCACCGGCCGTATATCGCCATGCAATGTTTCTCAAGAAACGCCGTTCTTCGAAACCGATATGTTAGGCAAACGATTTTTGTGTCAAAACATGCACGATGAATGTACTTAGACTACTGAAAATTTTGTGCGATCGCACGACATGCTGAAGTTCTATTATCACCCTTCCATTACAGGCTAAGGGATTAAGTCTCAAACTATTTAACAGTGAACCTAATACGAACATCAGCCTGTCCAGAAATGGCCCATCCCTGAAACTAACATTTTCTGCGAGCTCAAATACACCAACGGCGGCGACGCGCCCCGACAAACTCGTACATCGATCACACTACGAGTGCACTTTCGAGAGCACCGTTTACGTAGCATATTGGAACGGTTGCCTGCTTGGCAGGAAACCTCGGCAAAGCAAGCTTGCGCACTGACCAGCGTTAGTGCGTGTCAAGTGGGCTGATACACTCATAACACGCGAAACTGCAACTTACCCCGTCATTTCTGAATGTCATAGGTTGGCAACAGCTTCCTACCGTCTCAGCCCGCTAGCGGCGCCCGCAATCTAACGAACGTGTCGTAATCGCGCAGGCGTCTGTCCGTTCCGCGCGAGTGCCGCAAGGATCAAGGCTTGAAAATTCCGCGTCTGCGTGCATTCCAGACTCCGCGCTCACGGCAACCAACCGACATTCAGTTAACAGCCACGCTGTTGTCCCTCTGCCTTCTGTGCGTGCGTGCGTGCGTGCGTGCGTGCGTGTGTGCGTGCGTGCGTGAGAGTGGGGTGTGGTGGAGGTTTCATTACCAGGTACTGCATATCTGTCAACGACTTGCTCTTGGATAACGATTCCATCCACATAATTAATGACTGACCATTATCAGAAAAGGATGTTGAGAAGGGCGCCCGTATATTACTTTTTAATATTGCACGGGCCCTGTCAACATGTTGGGGTGAGTGTCAGTCGTGCAAGTTTTTGAAGTATCCACCGAAATGAGTGTTGTTTGTTGTATCTTTTACATCGTGTAGATGTTCGTCTTCACCATCCCTGATCATTGTCTTATTTCGCCAATGTGTGTAAAGGTTGAATTTTTAATGATGTTGATTTTGTAGTGATGGTTGATTTTGTGGCGATGAGCATGCCCTGTTATCTTGTGGAGGTTGCAGCTTGCTATATGAACGGTATTTCTGGTATGGCATCTGCCGTCCAACCCAGCCCGCCCCCCCCCCCCCCTCCCCCTCCCCCGACAATGAAATGTTGTATTGCCCGATGGGCATGGCATTAGGCCCAAGGTGGGTGTAATCGCGCGATGTCTGGCACAGCCTCTGCTCGGTCAACCTTGTCCGGCCCGTTCCTGCCGCGGGCTATGAGAGGCGAGGCGGGCCCGGCCGCCGGTCCAACCTCGCCTGCTCAACAAACAGACAGTTCAGAACAGTTCAAACAGACAGTTCAGACGCCAGTGAGCATACTTCAGCAGATTTGCTGGGGTGTTGCGCGAGAATCTTCCCACTAAATCACGCTATCCGAAGGGGAAGTTTCGATCGCGCTGCTCCGGGTGGTCGGAACCTAGTCGGGACTAGGTTTGGCAATTCCACGGTGACGTCATCACGAAGATGCCCGAAAGTATTTACGTGTAGAAAGCATCGCATCGCGGGTTTTATAAACATGGTTTTCAAGTACTCTTAGGTCGTTTCTTCGGGTGAAGTGGATCTCATTACGTCTTGCAGTATGTCTCCTAACTAAAGCAGATGTGGCTGGCCACATATTTCAACACGAGACCATATCATTGCACCCTGTTTTTTATCTAACAAAGACGGGCTTCGCAAACACTTGATCGGGTTATCACCCTAACCGTCACCGACCGTCTCGAACTTGATGGTCCAGATACGGTTAAACTTCAAAATGCTGAGACGTTTAAACGAACGGTCAGGCTGATGAAAGGGAATGTTCCAGTGCACAGCCAATAAGGAGGCGGCAGCGGCTGTTGTCAATGTAAGTGATGCATCAGGAACTTGTCTATATGGATGGCCCGGAATATGCAATTTGAATCTGATAAGACAGATGCGATCTTATTTCACATGAGAGGGATGGCAATGTCTGAATCACTTTTAGCATACGTACGGGATATGACATGAAATTTTTAGACAAATTTTGAGTATGCAAATACCACTATGGACTTTTCATTCAGCACAACGCCATAGATAGACCATTTCAGTTCTAAAATCTTGCGCCAATGCAGTTGCTTTCCTATTTAACGTCATTATTACACCCGTGCGTGCTCTAAAACGCAGGTCAAATAGAGACAAACTGGGCTTTGCAAGGCGTAGCTGACAGGACGTATTCTTGCGGCCTAAAGTAGAGGGACTTTCAGCTGGTGCAATTGGAGTTCTCGCAAGTTGAGAGGTCTACACCCATTTTTGGACCTTTCTTTCCAGTCAACCCCATATGACCAATGCTAAGTTTTCAGAAAACTGAAGGATAAACTCCTGCTCACAGTAAGCCTTTTGGAGCCGTTTTTGAGTCGTGATGCACGCGTCGTCGCTGAGATCTGTGCGTCGCAGTTGTTGACAGCTGTCAATGCGGTTATGGCTCGGCATGTTACGAGGAGCTTTTTAGTTCGAGCCTTCTGTCTGAGCGCGTTGTGACGCCCGTGTAACGAGATAATGTGACACCAAAAAGTATGTATGTTCGTGCTAGAAGTATGATATGCATGAATTCAGCGTTTGCTATATACGGGTTTGTCTGGATGTTGAGCGTTGTAAATGTCGAAGTGCGCCCCTGTCCATCTGCAGAAACATGTTTATCATCTCGTATCACCCCCTAAATATGCACCCCAGCCTGGTTGATAGGGATCCATGACCCGTCGTGTTGCAGGAACCCATGATATCAAATGAATTTATAGATGCAACCAGCATAGATGTCGATGTATTCTTGCTGCAACTGTCAGGCAAATCGTAATATAGTAGTCAAATGAATAATGACACAGTGCCTGACCTCCGCGTTGGTTTGTTCACAGTTCGATCTGGTATGCGAGGATGCCTGGCAGCCGAATTTCTGCACTACACTCTTCTACACGGGTAGTTTATTCGGCAACGTGCTGTTCGGCTGGGTGGCGGACAAGTAAGCTGGAAGACAGTTCGCGTTTCGGCGCGTGCTTAACTCACGTGCGATGTGTATTTGTTTGCATTCGTATTGTGGCTGCTGGCGACGGATTGGATAAAAACAGCAACTGGCGCTTTTTGTAGGCAGACAGTGTCAAGAGATGGAAGCCACAGCGTACGTCGTATCAGCACGATTTTATCGTCCTACAAAATACCCTACACTCCTGTTATACCATTTCCCGCGAAAAGCCTCCCCCCCTCGCTGCTTCGCAAACCCACTCGGGGTAAGGCTTTGTTAGCGCCATGGCTTATGTGTTCCAAAAGTATGTAGCGGACCAGATGGGTTCAAGAACGCGTGAGAGGCATTTGGACGCGTTAGCTGTATTTCGAATGGATTTTTGGTCACAGGCCCCGCTCACGGAATCAAAAAGCTCAAGTATCAAACTGATGACAAACGCCAGCCAGTGATGACGTCGTTTTTTCATAGCACCCACGTTGTCAAATGCCACACATTTTCCCCACACCTAAACCGAGCAAATTACAATAAATCATAGGCGATAAAAAATAGCTTTCCAAAGATATATGCTTTATTATTTCCCCGTGATAAAATGTTTTTAGCTGGTAGGGGTTCCGGATTTGAGCTCAGTAGCATTTCACCCTCAAGAATAATGAAGTGCTTAGCTTTGCAGAGCTAGTATATTTTATGGCCCGTGATGTTTTGTTATTTGTTTGGTCAAAGTGTGAGAGATGTGTGCAATTTGATCACGTGTGTGCTGGGAAAAACGCTGTGAACACTGGCTGGCATCTGGTGTCCGTTTTTTATTTCAACTTTTCAATTTTGTGAAGCAAGATCCTTGGCAGAAAACCCATTCAAAATGCAACTTACTTAACCAGTGTCACGTACGTCGCTACAATGCCATTTTAATTCACTTAAGCACTCACTATGTCTTACACTTCACAAGTGCTGTACCGTCTCAAAAAGGTTGTTTGATATGCCGACTGATTCCGTGGGTTCCTGTTTCATGTAGCATCATTAGGCC